AAAGAGTGTTTGCATCTGCTTAGGGAAATGTGCCTGTAATAATGACTTATTTAGAAGAGAGACCAGAATGGAATGGAATGAAATGGATTGATAAGCCAGTTTGAGCAGGCAGAGAGCAACCTGGGCCTTAGGACTCTTATAAAAGGAGCTGTGCAGCAAAGCACTTTGCCAAGACTGGGTCTGGCAAGACCTATCTCCACTCAACAAGCATTGTCTCTAAACTCCCTGCAAAATTCATATTCTTACAAATGTCTTAAGGCAGGCCAGCTCATCTCGAGTTTCACTTACGCTTCTAAGATGGTGCGGATTTCTCGATTCAGCCCTGCAGACCCCAGTGTAGACATTGCTCTCCGAGGTACGTTTTAAACTTCATGGAGTCCTTTATGACTGCACAGTGGTTGGTGGTGTGATGCTGTGGCAGTGAGTTAAAGTGCTTTCTTGGTTGCCAGAGAGTTGGCGAGTGTGCTGATGCATGGGTTGCTGGAAAAGCTTGACTCAGCTCCTTTCCCACATACTGAACCTAAAATGAACCAGCAGTCAGAAGCAGGGAGCTGACATCTCATCTATTGGAAGGATGAGCTGAGGCAAAAAGAACAGAAAAGAGAAGGGAAGGGAAGGGAAGGGAAGGGAAGGGAAGGGACATTGGCACTGCATGGCTCTTTTGTGCTTCTCCATTTGCTGTTTCTTGTGCTTTGTCTTTTTTCTCTTCACCTTTCTGCTAAGAAAATATGGTTGATTTGTTTATAATCATAGCTTCCAGGCTAGCAACATATTGAAATGGCAAAGATGACAACAAAAAAGTTTCTTAAAATAAATTTTAAAAACTTGACGCTAGATTAATTTCTTTCTGTCAAATTTGTCTGCTATTCAGTAAAAAAAAAAAAAAAAAAAAAAGTGAAACCATTGACCATATTTAAGTTAGCAAGGTTAATCTGAAACAAAGTGCAGTTTATACTCTGTGATAATGAATGTTTACCTTTTTATAAATTTAAATCTATCTTTGCACAATTAGCAAATTATTAAACGACCTTTCCTTCAAAGTCGGCAAGCAATTGCTTGTTTCTACTAATATGAGAGCATGTTTTACAAGGTTCAAGTTGATTAATTGACAAATGCTGATAAAATCAAAGCAGGGCTAAAATGCAGTGCACCAGCTGTAGTATAAATTACTTCTGTTCGATAATGTTTCAAGGGGCTATACATTTATGGTTTACCTTTCAATAAATATTACTGTCTTAATTGCAACATCCGTTGTGGAAATTTATCTCAAGATGACTATTAGGAACCACCGCTAGGACTAAACATTTCTGTATCTCTATATTTATTTATTTATATATTTATTTATTTTGCTCATGGATTGCTATGAGCATTTAAAAAACAAATGCTTTATATTTAATGTGAAATGAGTGCTAATATAATTTGAAAATCATGCTCCCTTGATTGACCTAAGTATAGTGTTCTCTACATTTCTGGATTGTTTGAACTAAAAAAAGAAAAAAATTAAATGCTCCACTGACCTCAGACCATTCACTAAGAGCAGTACATTCTTAGGCCATTGTCATCCAGCTGTTCTGGCAGCTGTGTTGGGCTCTATTAGAGGGCCTATAGCAGGCTGTTTCATGCTTGTATGTGTTTCAAACATGGAAGATGATTGGCCAAACCCAGATTCTTGTTTTTGTTTATGAGTAAGTAGCTTATCAGAAGGACCTCCCACAACCTAGGCCAAATCTGAAGGTGCAGAGGACCCAACAGGAAGGGAGTGGACATTAGGCCACAGGCCATCCTGCAGAGTTCTCACTCCTCTCCTGTGTTGTCCATGCCCATGGGATGGACTCCCACACGCTACTGCCGCAGCATGTGGATGTAGGGGTCCAAAAGATCTGATAGTTTTGTCTGGACATCTTAAGGTGTCTCATCTAAACTCCTGGGAAATTAGATACCCTCCAAAAGTGCCTTTGACATACTTTTCTCAACAAAGTCATTTTCATTCAACAAATGTTTATCAACCCTACTTTATGCCAGGCACTGTGCAAGGTCCTGGGGATAGAGACATAAACCAAAATGATTTCCTATCCTGAAGCTTAAAATATTCAATCGTAACTCTGGACATTGGCAATTTGTTATTTAAAAGATACCCTTACATAATTTGCCAAAAAAAATTGAGGCCCTGTCATGTACCGGGTCCTATTCTATATGTTTCCTTTCTTTAGTATTTTTTAAGAGACCACTAGCTTCTGGTGGCCCTCAGGGAAGTTTGAGCTACCTCAGTTGCTGGTTACCAGGTAACAGCTGTACTCAGGAGTACCACAGCTGCCAGACCTGGGTTGATATCAGTGGGACTGAGCAGAGACCATCACTCTGAACCTTTGATCATCAGTTAAAGGGTGCATTGTCCTCAGGATGGACACGAAGATCATGGTGCAGGAATATCGGGCTGTGTAATGAGGGAATTAAGGACAATTTGGGACACCTGGGATCAAGCTGATTTTGGAATGTGGATCACAGTAGAAGCAGATTAAACTGGCAAGTCCAGGTTGAGGGTTAGGAGAAGTGGCATTGGGCTAGAATTCAGTGATGGTGAACCTTTTGAGCTCGGCGTGTCAGCATTTTGAAAAACCCTAACTTAACTCTGGTGCCATGTCACATATAGAAAATTTTTGATATTTGCAACCATAGTAAAACAAAGACTCATATTTTTGATATTTATTTTATATATTTAAATGCCATTTAACAATGAAATATCAACCAAAAAAATGAGTTCACGTGTCACCTCTGACACGCATGCCATAGGTTTGCCATCACTGGGCTAGATGGTAGAATTCCAAGTGATTGCCTAGATTCTAGGCCCTAGAAGGTAAGGACAGAAGGCAGACTGGTGATGAAGGTCACAGAGAGGGAGCAGGTTAGAAGAGATCAAAGCAGATTAACAAGCAGGTGAGCAACCAGAGCCAGCCGTTAGCCCAGCCGGCATGGGAGCAATCTGAGAGACAAGCAGCTGCTGGGGTGGGGTCAGCCATTAAAAGAATCAGGATCAGGGGTAATAAGGAGAAAACTCTTTGCCACTGAGAATTTGGCCACCAGAAGTCAAGTGTGCTTCCACTAATCCAGGTCACAGGGCTGTGAGCAGGACTGGCAGCATGATGGAGAATTTCTGAGTTTGGGCTCATTATGTTCTCTCAGCCCAGACATCATTAAGATGATGTTTGGCATGCAGTAGACACTCCACAAATACTCCACTGAATGCACCTGGCTTCTGGGGGGGAGGGAAGATGGAAGGGAGGGAGGTTCCAAAATTAAGGGATTTCTACATGGCAGTACAAAAAGTTTAAATTACCGTGGCACTGAATGGAGAAAAATAAGCACAGGGGAAATACACGCATCCTTTGTTTAAATGATACATACGAACACAGTAATTGTGTTTGTTCCCTGCCTTGGTTGCTGTCCTGTGAATGCCATTAAGTGAGAAGAGGGACAGCGTGGCGTGGAACCCAGGACGTTCTAAGAGTGTGTGGTGAGGTGTTAGCCAGTCAGCAGTGTTTTCCTTGTGAGAGCATTTGGAAAGAAAGAAATACAAAGGGAATGGTGAAGCGATTAAAACCTTGCTGAACTCCCAGGTCAGTGTCTGAAAACCTCGGTGAGATGCCAGGATCTGGCTGAGGTTCAGCCCGTGTCCCTTCTCATCTTCCATCAGGAAGGTACTGCCTGCCGATCCCCACCCCTGGAGGCTCTTTTATGTTTGTGGTGGCAGCTGCCAGCAAAAATAATAGGAATGATTATTTCGTGCAACCTTAATAAAAGTCCTATTGTGCTAGTGTTGTACATCACACATAAAAGTTGTAAAACACGATCTTTTAAAAGATGCCCTGCATCACCAGGTTGGGTCATTGCGGCATAACAAGCTCACTGGGGCACCACGTGTGCCGACTGCCGTGCTGAGCCCGGAAGCTAGAGAGCCCTTCCCCCCTCCGCACTCCTGTACCAATGTTCCCTGTGTTGGCACTAGATGGGGCATTGTTATTATTACAGTGGCTCTAAAATGTGAATATATAAAACCCAGAAGGATGGAAACATTTCTTTAGAACATGATATTGTACTACTGAATCAGAGGACATTGTTGAAGGAAACAGCCATGAAAAGTGTCTAATCCAAACCCTGACTTTTGTTTTTAGCTGAAAAAACTGACCAGCCCATGTTCACACACTGAGTCAGAGGCAGACCCAGAACTGGAGGCCGGAGCCCAAATCTCAGGAAGCCACGGCAGCCTGCACACTGTGCTTTCCCCGGGGCGCGGCAGTGAGGGTAACATGGAAATCCAAGAACCCAAGTGCTTAGCTCTCAGAAGCTGCCTTCTTTTATTTACATGGGGGGTTAAAAAAGAGTTAACTCTCTAAGAAAGGGTGGGCAAACTTTTTGACTCGAGGGCCACAATGGGTTCTTAAACTGGACGGGAGGGCCAGAACAAAAGCATGGATGGAGTGTTTGTGTGAACTAATATAAATTCAAAGTAAACATCATTACATAAAAGGGTACGGTCTTTTATTTCAATAGTTTTATTCATTTCAGACAGGCTGGATCCGGCCCGCGGGCCATAGTTTGCCCACTGCTGCTCTAAGACGTGCCCTCCTAAATAACTCTTCCTACAGCTTGACTCTACATGTAGGTGGCTCAAAGAAAAGTAAACAGTGAACATAATTTACATACATACTTGGTTTGTTTATTTTTTTAACCTCTCTCTCTTGCACACAGAGGTGTACTTACACATACATGTACACATCTTTGAAAAATAGCAATATGAATGAACTTCATTAGATAAAATATGAAAAAACAAAATATGATTTATTATATTTGGATTCTAGCTAACAAATTTCCCTTAGTTTTTTTGTTCGTTTTGTTTGTTTGTTTGTTTGTTTGTTTGTTTGTTTGTTTGTTTTAGAGAGAGAGAGAGGAAGGGGAGAGAGAGAAATATTGATTGGTTGCCACCCTATCTGAAGATCAACTCAAAACTTAGGTATGTGCCCTGATTAGGAATCAAACCTCTTGGTGTATGAGATGATGCTATAACCAACTGAGCCACCGGCCAGGGCTCCCTGAGGGCTGTACTCTAGTCAGCTTCTAAGCACTGTGAACACCCTTCAGGCTTGGCCTGTCTTAGCCTCTTAGCCATATACACACCATCATCTTCACTTGGGCATTAGAATCCTTGAGCATTAGAATCCTTGGGACATTAGAATCCTTGGGGCTTAGAGCCATTACTTAGAACCCACCTGAAGACGAGGACTTCCAAGAACTTCTCTCTCCAGGTCTACCCAGGGGAGCTCGCTTTCCCTTCTTCCTTTTTCTTCTGTGCCAGCAGAG